ATAACTGTAGCTAGAGTTATTTGTGATGAGACATTATTTCATAGGGTAAGAGGAGGGAGGGGAGCCATGGAGGATGGGGGGGGTGCCTTTTTACACCTGATGAGGGAGGCTTGTGTTGCCTCCGAAACTTCGTGATTTAAAAATAAAATAATAATTTTATTAATTTTCATTTTAATTTTTTCCTACGTGACTTTACCGAAAAAACTAAGAGTATGAATCCTTGCAGTCACGAAAGCTTCAAATCTAGAGTCGTGATTTAATTTAGTTTTTTTCATTTATTTTATTTTATTGTTTTACCTACGTAGCATCACAACAAGTCGTTGGGATGCTGCAACCTGTGTACGCATCTCACGCGTTATCGCGGACTGTGCTTTGCCCTAGATGATACATTATTTATTATAACGCGATTTTTCCATAGCGAGGTGTTCCTCAGGACGCCACTACCGCGTTATAAGAGAACAGACGGTACCTCATTTGCGTGCCATGCTTCCTCAAAGAGTAATATTTGTGTGTGGGGGGGGGGGGGGGTGAGGGTTATTAGGTAAAAAAAAAATGTCAGTGCTCAGAAGAATGAAATGTTGCTTGAATACATTGGTTGTTTAAAATCGTAGAACGCGTCGTGTTGGCCACTCTGCACGGGAGATCCGTGCTGCTGCATGCAACACAAAACAAAGACAAACACATCAACATTGCCGAGAACTAGCGCTGTACAGGGTCCTTTAGCCCAGGGGTGCCCAACCCTGTTAGGAACCGGGCCGCACAGCAGCAGGAGGAGAGAGCGGTGAGTCCGTGTGTGTACACACTCTACACACCGCATAGTGGTGAGCGGTGAGTCCGCGCGTGGCCCGCCCATTATTTTATTATTGACCACTTCCATCCGCGCCTCTTTCCCGCACCGCGCATTTGTCTCAGTCACAGTGTTGGTGAGCCCACAAGCTCTAACCCCTAGTAGCCACAGTAAGTAAAAAACAAACGTCGCTGGAGAGCTTCTTTGAAAAGGGGGAAAGACCCAATGATGACCCCCCCCCCTCCGCCCGCCCCCTGGTCCGTGAAAAAATTGTCTGCCACGAAACTGGTCCCTGGTTCCAAAAAGGTTGGGGACCGCTGCTTTAGGAGTATTGGGGGCGCCACGGTGGCTTGGAGATGTTAATTCCCTCGCCTGCTATGCAGGTGGTCGTGAGTTCCATCCTCACCCTTACGTCGGTTGTATATTTGCAGTTTGCGTGTCTCTCTCCAAGTAGTTCGCGTGGATTTTTCTCCAGGTCCTCCGGTTTTTCCTTCCACATTTAGAATCAACGTCACGCGTTTTAGAGTATTTGGCTGCTACAAATTTCCCACGTGATGAGCCACTTCATTGAGCTATCATTTGTGATGGCGAAGTCGCTCAAGAGAAAGAGTCACGTAGCTCAGTTGGCGTTAGCTGGTAGAATAAAGAACGAACGTTTTTTGTTTGTTTCGCTCATTGCACAACTAACAGGCGTTTGATGGTCGTGATCAAAAGACACGCGAATCCCAACAAAAGGTCTGCAAAATCGACACCAAGGTGATGTCAAGTCGTGTAACCCCGCGTGGCTGCGCATGCAACCTTGCGGGCACTCTATTTACGCGTAGGGCACACGCATTTCAGCGTGCTCGCTTGAAATGAAGCGGGAATTAAAAAAAGAAACATTGGAGAACAAACGAAGGCTGCTCGTTTGAAAACCTTCGAAATGTTTCCATGAAGATTTGGGGGGGGGGAGTGGGTGGTGGGGGGTGCTTTTAGTTTCCGCGAATTAATAAAAAAAAACCCACCAACCACAAAAACGATTGTCTGCAAAGCCCCAAACATCTATAAACGCGGGAGGGCATTTCCGTGTGACAGCGTCGATAATAATTCAATAATTCTAGACTTGAAGCTTTCGTGACTGCAAGGATTCATACTCTTAGGTTTTTCGGTAAAGTCACGTAGGTAAAAAATAAATAATCAAAATATAATTGTGATTTCTTATTTTATTTCTATTATTTTTTCAATTCTATTTTTAAAAAATTCAATAATCAAATAAATCCTCGTGAATACAACACTACCCCCCCCCCCCAAAAAAATATAAAGCCGTGAATGCAGCTTCTTCTAGAGACAAGAATGCGACAGGTTTCGTTGGGCAGCGGATTTCGCGAGAGTGAAATTTGAAGCAAAATGTTGCGAGTGGAGAGCTGAGCCCCTCCGCGCTGGACGTGTCGCTAATTGGATGGCGCTGGCCACGCCAGCGGAGCTTGCCGAGTTTTTTTTCCTCGCAATTTTTGTTGTTGTTGTTGTTTTGTTGTTGTTGCTTTGTTGTTGGGCTTTATCGTGGGAGGCGATTTTTTTAGCAGGGACCATCTGCAAACTCTGCGTGGCCTCCTGCGCTACAACCGTATCACAACAGGCTCGCCGCCTGCTCCGCTTCTCTCAAAGCACGCGGTGCCCTCTCCAGATGAAGCACTCGTTTTGTACAGCCCACCAGCCACTGCCACCACCGTCACCACCGCCGCTACCACTGCCGCCACCACCACCACCGCCACCATCACCGCCACCACCGCCACCACCACCGCGACCACTGCCGCTACAACCACAGCCGCTGCCTTCACCGCCGTCACCACCACCACCATCACCACACACACCACCGCTACCACCACTGCCACAACCACCATCACCACACACACCACCGCTACCACCGCCACCACCACCAGCACCACAGCCACCAACACAACCACCGCTGTCACCACAGCTACAACCACCGTCACCACCACACCTCCACAGCCACCACCGCCTCAGCCACCAACAACCACCCTTCCAACTTTGCGCCTCTCACATTCGGGCAACTCACTCCCACACGCACCCCACCCACCCACATGCCCAGACACACCACTCACACAACCCACACAATCCACCCAGACACACCACCCGAACCACCCACACAACCCACCCACCCAAACACACCACCCACACAACCCACCCAGACACACCACCCAAACCACCCACACAACCCACCCACCCAGACACAACCCACCCAGACACACTACCCAAACCACCCACACAACCCACCCACCCAGACACACCACCCACACAACCCACCCACCCAGACACACCACCCACACCACCGACACAACCCACCCACCCAGACACACCACCCACACCACCGACACAACCCACACGCACAGACACACCACCCAAACCACCCACCCAACCCACCCACCCAGACACACCACCCACACCACCGACACAACCCACACGCACAGACACACCACCCAAACCACCCACCCAACCCACCCACCCAGACACACCACCCAAACCACCCACCCACCCAGATACACCACCCAACCCACCCACCCAGACACACCACCCAAACCACCCACACAACACACCCACCCAGACACACCACCCACACCACCGACACAACCCACACGCACAGACACACCACCCAAACCACCCACCCAACCCACCCACCCAGACACACCACCCAAACCACCCACCCACCCAGATACACCACCCAAACCACCCACACAACACACCCACCCAGACACACCACCCAAACCACCCACACCACCCACCCACACGCACAGACACACCACCCAAACCACCCAAACAACCCACCCACCCAGACACACCACCCAAACCACCCACACAACCCACCCACCCAGCCAGACACACCACCCAAACCACCCACACAACCCACACAACCCACCCACCCAGACACACCACCCACACAACCCACACAACCCACCCACACGCCCATACACACCACCCACCCACCCACACCACCCACACAACCCACACAACCCACCCACACAACCCACCCACCCACACAACCCACCCACCCACACAACCCACACAACCCACCCACCCACCCACACCACCCACACAACTCACGCACCCACCCACACAACCCACACCACCCACCCACCCACACCACCCACACAACCCACCCACACAACCCACCCACCCACACAACCCACCCACCCGCACAACCCACACAACCCACCCACCCACCCACACCACCCACACAACTCACGCACCCACCCACACAACCCACACAACCCACCCACCCACACTACCCACACCACCCACACAACCCACCCACACAACCCACCCACCCACACAACCCACCCTCCCACACAACCCACACAACCCACCCACACACACAACCCACCCACCCACACCACCCACACAACTCACGCACCCACCCACACAACCCACACAACCCACCCACCCACACCACCCACACCACCCACACAACCCACCCACACAACCCACCCACCCACACAACCCACCCTCCCACACAACCCACACAACCCACCCACACACACAACCCACCCACCCACACCACCCACACAACTCACGAACCCACCCACACAACCCACACAACCCACCCACCCACACAACCCACCCACCCACACAACCCACCCTCCCACACAACCCACACAACCCACCCACACACACAACCCACCCACCCACCCACACCACCCACACAACTCACGCACCCACCCACACAACCCACACAACCCACCCACACACACAACCCACCCACCCACCCACACCACCCACACAACTCACGCACCCACCCACACAACCCACACAACCCACCCACACACACAACCCACCCACCCACCCACACCACCCACACAACTCACGCACCCACCCACACAACCCACACAACCCACCCACCCACACCACCCACACCACCCACACAACCCACCCACACAACCCACCCACCCACACAACCCACCCTCCCACACAACCCACACAACCCACCCACACACACAACCCACCCAACCACCCACACAACCCACCCACACAACCCACCCTCCCACACAACCCACACAACCAACCCACACACACAACCCACCCTCCCACACAACCCACACAACCAACCCACACACACAACCCACCCAACCACCCACCCACTCGCTCGCTACGACCCCCTCCCAGCCCTCTCGGCCCGCCCGCCCGGCCGGCCGGCACAGATGACAGGATCGGAAAAAAAGTTTACGGGTAGAGCTTTTCTGGCTCGCTCAACGCACACAGCTGGGCAGGCCAGATTGCCATCCATTATTTAAGCGGGAGGAAGAGTGCTACTGGGCTGCGTGATAGCTCTGCACGAGGCACCCGATATTTTTTTGTCGGTTGTTGTTGCGGGGGGGGGGGGGTGCAAGCGAGAGGGTGCAAGCGGGCGGGTGGATGTGGGGTGACGCACGGGGGGGGAGAATATGGAAGAGTTTGGTTGGTTTTCAGTGAGTGATAGGCTGCTAACACCCCCCCCCCCCCCCACAGTTCTCCACTCACCGGCTCCCTCCTCTCGCCTCCCACCACCGTTCCCTTCCCCCCCCCCCTCTCCTCGACCCCCCCCCCCCCCGCCAATCCTCTGGCTATGAGCAGCAGCAATCTGGTCCTGTGCGCGCTTAACGACCGGCCCGAGTCCAAACTGCCGCTTTCAAAGCTCGCGCAGCCGAAACTGCTGCAAAGATGCGCGCGCATTTATAAGCGCTGGGAGGGAGTTGTTTGTAGGGAAGGGATCGTGCGTGTGTGTGTCTCTGTGTGTCTGTGTGTGTCTGTGTGTCTCTGTGTGTCTGTGTGTGTCTGTGTATGTGTGTCTGTGTGTCTCTGTGCGTGTGTCTGTGTGTCTCTGTGTGTCCCTGTGTGTCTCTGTGTGTCTGTGGGGAGCGGTGGTGTAGCGGTTAGCGCGTTGCGCCACGAACGTGGTGACCCGGGTTCGATTCCCGCTCACGGCCAACACCAGTGACGATTATCTGAACCGATCCTGGGCCTCCCCTAGGTCGACTCAGCCTCAAATGAGTACCTGGTGCGGTGTGTAAACATCGCCACTCGAAAGACAAAGGTGACAGGGTGTGGTGTTGGCCACCCGCCTCCTCGTGTGGCATTTGCTGGCCTTCATAGGTGCTCGCAAACAGCACTTGCCCCAACAGCCTGTTAAGGCTACACGAAGGGTCTTTGTCTTTGTGTGTGGCAGCGTTAGTGTAGCGGTTCGCCAACCTGGTGATCCGCGATCGGTTCCCGCAAATTATCTGAACCACGTTCCTGTGCCTCCTCCCCTAGGTCGACTCAGCCTCAAATGAGTACCTGGTGCGGTGTGTAAAAACATCGCCACTGGGGAGACAAAGGTTGTTTAGGGGCGTGGTGCTGGCCACCCATCGCCTCGTGTGGCCGTGTCGGCCTTCAAAGGCGGTGCTCGCTAACAGCACTTGCCCCAACGGTCTGTCAATGCTATACGGGGGATCTTTGTGCTTGTGTATGCAAGCGCTTGGCAAAGTTGCAAGCACCACTCACTTGGCTGCACTGTGATGATCTCCGTGACCCCCGATTCAGATTTGTCCGTCCGTGTGTGGACGTTGTTGACCCCAGCGTGGGCCACCTCCTTGAGGTCAACGCGACCTCGCAGCAGCAGCTCGTTTTAATATCGGTGAATTACGTCCGAATATATATGTAGATGTTTTGCATCTGACATCTAAATGTCTGAATCGGCAGTGGCGTTTTAGCACAATTTGAAAATGCCATCGCACCGGTGTCATTAGCAAGCACTGCTTTCAGGCGAAAACAACGTAGTCACCTGTTATCTCGCGTGAAAAAAAATCAAACAAAATTCAAGGTCAAGAGGTCATCATGGCCGGTGTGATGGTGATGCCAACAAACCTGACCAATGCTTTATTCTTTACTTCAGCTCTCAATCCGCCATCGCTCATTCTCCCCTGCCGCCTCTCGATTCTGGAACTCCCCCCCCCCCCCCCTCCTGAGTCATCCGTGCTATCTACCCACCGCCCCTGTTATAGACGTCTAGATCGCAGGTCAGGGCATGTGGAGAGGTGGCTGTTGTGAAGACCGCCTGTCAACAAGCCTTTGACACTTCACGTGGCCTCAAAGTGCATCTGGCCTGGCACAGGCGTCGTGGCGACGTCACTCTCACTTAGTGGCGAGTGGCGAGGTGCTGGTGATGGTTGTGAAGACTTGCCGGTGGCCGGTACCGGCGGTGTTAAGATCGGCCTCTGTGGAGGAGGCTCGTCAAGGACGCTGCTGCTCCTGGGCATGTGGAAGGCATTCGACCTCGGCGCGACAACGGCGGGTAGAGGAGCGACGCTCACAACAACGAGCGGAGCGCCGGGCGTCTAAAAGGTGGCGAAGTGACACGGCGGGACCACAGCTGGCGCACGTGCCCGTCGTCTCGATCAGTCGACCCATAGCACCCTGGAGGCTGTCCCCGTGACCTCCTGTCGCCAGAGAGAGCCTTCGACCCTTCACGTGACGGCCTCAAAGTGCACCTCGCCTGGCACAGGCGCTGTTGTGGTGAAGTCGCCGGCCACTGAGTTGGCTACTGTTCTCGTCAAGACGGAATCTGGAGAGCGGTTGAGTTGGTTGATGGGGCTCGGCACACCTGGGATGGGAGGCCGCGAGGGAGCGGGAGGCCAAGGCGAGAGCGCCTTCGTAGCATCGTGTCACACCACTGGCACGGTGAATGCAACGCGGTCGGGTTCCTGCGCTGTCGTGGACATTGTGCTGGCGGTCCGGCGATGGTGGAAATGCAACACGCGCACGCAAAACAAAAACCATCGACGTTCGATCTCCCAAAGTACGCTCGCTCCTACGCCCGAGCCACGCGGCGGCTTTCGAACCCACTTCGCGCAGACCCCCCCCCCCCCAGCTGTTGCCAACACGTGAGCAAAGTGTCAACGCGGTTTGAAGTCTACTAAATAAAAAAAAAACATACATCCGCTAATCAATCCGCTGCTGGATGAAGGTCCCCCCCATTACATGACAATGTCAAGGGGGGTTATTTGACCATGCTTTACCACGCTGGTCAGTAGATAATGAGAATCTGTAATTATCCTGGAGGAATCCGATGAGCCGTAAAGCGATCAGAGCGTGATAACGGAGGGGGCCCCCAAAGAAGCGGTTTTTAGACATCAACTCGCCACCAAAGTTTGCCACGGGCCGGAATCGAACTCGGGTTTTGCCAGTTTCACCACCGCGCCACGCCTTGGGCTCTGAAGCAAGAGGTCAGGAATGCGTCAGCGACGCCCGGCAGATATCCATCGGGCAGAAGGCGCGATGGCTGCGGCGCGCGATCGTGAACGCGGCAAAAAAAAAACCACGAGCAGCAGCGTTCATTCGTTTCGTCGCAGCCAGCGGCTGTGTTGATGTCGGGGACGTGCACCGAAACGTCTGCGGCATCGCAATCTCTGCGGAGGTTTCACCTTAAATATTTTATTCCTCCGCCCCCTGCCACACCCCCCCCCCCCCCCCAGCGATCTGACAAAGTCGCTTCACCAGAAATACGCGTACGAACAAGCGTTCACCCAGAGGCGCTGTCCACTTGATGCTGGCTACAGTCGCTGCTTCTCTCCCTCTCTCGTAGCTCTCTCTCTTGTTTTTAGTCTTTGTTGGATTTTTTTTTCGTGTGTGTGTGAATGCAATACCCGCCCGTGTCAGTTACAGCACAGAGTGAAACTCAACTCCGGCTTGGGAACTTTCACTGGCGGCGACACGACACGGCCCGGCAGGGAGCTGCCCCGGAGCGAGACAGCGCAGAACCGCTCCCGGTGACTCGTGCACTTTACTTAACCCCCCCCCACTCCACACTCCTCCTGTATATTCCCAGCTCGAACTTGCGCGAAATAAGTAAATAGAGAAATGAATAGAGAAATAAATAGACAAATAAATGGACAAATTAATCGACAAATAAAGTCAACGTAGACTGGGGCCCCAATTAAGATGGCAGTTTTCACTCGATGCGTTATCACCCGCTATGCCATTTGAATCAGAATCTGTGGACAGTGGGGAAACAACAACAACAAACGCAGAGGCGATTGTAAAGGTGCGTAATTAGCAATCGCGAGCGAAAGAGAAGAAGAGCACGTGGATCAGAGGCGCATCAGACGTTTGAAGAGAAAGGAGTCGGGAACGGGCGGCTCCGTAGCAGCACGCGGCGCTTTAAGGACCGCTGCTTCGTCACCGTTGTTCAGTCAGAGGACCTCCACCGTCTCTTGTACTGACCGCAGTTTTTATTTTATTACCGAATTCGAGCAAAAAAAATTGCTCTTCTTGTTAATTCGCTTCCCGACCCCCCCCCCCCCCCTCCCCCCCTCTGTGTTGGAGGCGTCGTGATTGATTGCTGATCAAAGTGGGTTCGGAGCGGGGCACAGAGCTCGGTGGGACGACGGGACGATGGTCGAGACTGAAGACGGAGCACAAGCCGAGGGGTCAGAGGTCGTGAGATCAGCTGGTGTGCAGGGGCCGCATAGATCGTAGTCGCAGCATCATCGCGAGAACGACAGGGTTGGTGATGACTCAACCAGCAGTGGCTACATCGTGGATGATGAGATATACACGATTTATCCGATCGTACATTTACATGCTAATTTCATCACTAGCCCCGACCACTTCGCTAATGAACCTTGGGATACACACATCTCAAACCTTTATAACATCCTGCCTCAGCAGCTCTCTCGCAATTTTTTTCACCTGATGACGATTGCTTGTGTTGCGATCGAAGCGTCGTGATATTTTGATTAATTTTTCTATCTACGTGGCTTTACCGAAAGACCCAATGAATATACACACACATATAAAAACTATGTATTTGATGCTGCTGCCACATTGTCAGTTGTGCACAAGTAGAGTACACAACAACAAAAACAGCTAAAACACATTAAAATGAAACCTTTATTGCCAATATCAAAGTAGGAAAAAATAAGAATAAGTTTTACCCTTTCTGGCAATATACAGGTGTTAAGATCTTCAAACACCAAATAGAAACCTTTCGCAAGCAATCATGTCTGCATTAACCACGCGGACTTGTGGTGAATATACAAACAAACCATACTCTGATAACATATGCATTGTCTTTGAACACACTGACGGGCCTACACATTCGTCAATAACACGGGGGCAATTATATTTCCATTTTAAAAAGCAGATATGATTGATAACATTTCGGGTGATGGCCCTCCTTCAGAGGGCACATGTCCAGAAGGGTCAGATCGGTCACAGGGTTCTATGCAGGGGCGTGTGGGCTCCAAACAGAGGCCATGGCAAGATGGCACGTGGTTCACGAACCCGTATTTACAGTAAACGAAGTGGCCGCGTTTGATAAGAATTTGACAGAAATCGCTTTTGCCGTACAACGTAGAGTGGATGACACATCTTATATTGTGCGTGTGTGTGTGCGCGTGTGTGTGTGCGACAAGGCCGTAGCCATGGAGTCAACATTGGGGGGGACCAAATCTTCCAGGGGGTCTGGGGGTCCTCCCCCCAAAAAAAATCTCAATTTGACAATCTCATTTCCTGGCATTTCCTGCCTAAAATATCTAAAAATCACTAACACATGGGATGGACTTTTATAGATATAATAATGTCCAAGAGTGAATTGTATTACATTGCTCTGTTTTAACTTTTTTACCCTTTCTTGTTTCATTGTATGTAATGGCAGAGATTAGGGATTCATAAAGTACAACCATAACCACAATCATATAAACAGAAATCTATGCATTGTTATATGAAGACAAGTCCAGATATTGTGGCCAAGGTTTAGCAAATTGTTGTATTTATTTACATAGCATAGCAGTTATTATTTTAAAAAATTTTCATAGCAATATATTGGGGGGGACATTTTGACCATTTTTGAATATTAGGGGGGATGTGCCCCCCCCCAATATATATTATAATTACGGCCTTGGTGTGTGCGCGTGTGTGTGTGTTTTGTTGTTGTTGTTGCATGCCCACGTGCACGAACGGCCAAGTTGTTTTCATTCGTCGATGTGCATCGTATTGGAAAAAGTAAAAACAAAATCCAACGATCGTACCGGCACATCGCGAGACGCGCGTGTCAACGGCGAGCACATCTACCAGCAGATCACGCGCTTGTACGCTCACCCGTAATCGTCATGAACAGACGCGTTCTGCATCTTGGGCACACGGCGCATATCTTGTGCCCAGATGGAAGTACATTGCATGTCCGTACATGATTTCACAACAAAGGCACCGTAACACAATAACCATGATAATTATAATAATGCACAAGTGCTTTTGTTAATCCACTGCTGGATGTAGGCCCCCCCGCCCGCACACCATGTTTTGCCATTGCGATCGTTTTGACACCAAACTTTCCTCCACCGTTATCACTACAAATTACGCATGTTGGGATTGCACACAGCAGCAATCATCCCCGTCCCCTACTGGCAGACTAATGCCCCAGGTCACTCGAGGCGCCACGGTGGCTCGGAGATGTTAACTACCTCGCCTGGTATACAGGAGGTCGTGGGTTCGATACCGACCCCGACGCTTGTTGTATATACTTAATTTGGAGTTTTCGTGACTGCAGGAATTACTCTTTGGTTTTTTCGGTAAAGTCACGTATCAAGAGTAAGTAATACATTAAATACTACCATAAAACGTTTCGATTGCAACACAAGAACTCATCATCAGGTATAAATGAAATAGAAAGACAAATCTAGTATACTTAGAAATGTAATGTAATACAAGAGAGAGTCGGATAACATAACAGTCAACACCCTACCTGGTTGATTACGTTCTTCCTGAGAATGCTAAATTTGAGAGAGAGAGATAAAACACAGAACCAGAGACATATAGACATACATATAAGTAGAGACAGATATCACAGAGATACATAGAGAGAGAGACGTACATCGGCATGTATATTCAAAGTTTGTTGTCCTTCCCCCACACCTCCGAATATTACGGTTAGCAACGTAAGGTGCGAAAGAAGTCCAGCATACATACTCTGCCAAATGAGGCTCATCCTGGTTCCCTATTCGGTTCTCACCTGAATAAACAAACTCATCGCCAAAACTTGAAACAATGCCGGTGAGCGCAATAAAACGATTCAGCGCATTTATCAATCCCACCGGTGCCCGTCTGGAACGCTCTTTCTTCCGATATTAATAAGCCACTGGAGCTATGCGCTTTTAAATCTAGATTGAAATCTCATTTCTTTGGAACTTATTTTCGTGTTTAGTTTGTTGTCCTTCCCCCCACACCTCCCATTAGCACGGTTGGCTACGTACGGTGCGAAAGAAGTTCAGCATACATGCACACAATGGTCAGTCTTAGGGCTACATCACCAGTAAGTCAGATATCAACCCCATCACGTGACGTTGGACGTCGATGGAAGTCGAACTGAGGTCACTGCGTTGGGAGCAGTTTGCACAAACTATTTCGCAACTGCTCCTCTCCCACACACAAATGTATCCCAATCGAGTAATTTGCAGGTCAATTTTCAGCACTGCGATGTTTAGCCAACGCCGGATACATTACATCATAATGATTAGATACATTACATCATAATGATGATTCGCTTGGTCAGAGAACTTAGCTGGGACTAATGAGACCCTGGGTTCGAATCCAGGTTTCAGCTGACAATTATTAAATTGAGTTTTCAAGTGGAGTGCATTGGTGGTCGCAGTCCAACCACCAATTGGTGAATGCAAATTAAGCGTAGTAAAAATATATTTCAGTTGATTCATTGCGGCTCTAAAATAATAATAAAATGTTTTGAATGATATGCGACTACGAGCAATACTGTTCATCGGGCAAATCGTCCGATGATGCTGGATGTAATTACCAGCGAAACGTCAGTGACGGTACTCAAATGATAAATCTTGTTGATTTACTCACCAACACACCGGTGGGCTGAAGTAGTCAATAATTGGCACGTTTTGTTTACGTGACAAACACTTACCGGCTGTGTCGGGTGGTGGAGGGTTACGACACATTTATACTTACGTGATCTAACCTTTATTATAGACTCCGAGGAATGTTTTTGCAGGGCATAAAAAAACAGAGTGAGCACACCAAGTGTGGATAAAGGAGTGGAACTCAGTGGTAGTTCTGCGACGTCAACTTCCGGGGCCATTTTCTCAGAACACTGTGCTCGCTACACAGTGTTCTGAATAGAAATGTCTCGGTGTCACTACAACGCCGATTGAAATATAATTGGAGGCAGAGAAAAATAAAATAAAAAAATAAAGCATCTAGGCCAGTGGTTCTTGACGCGAGGTGCCAGATGCCCTTTCTGGGGGTGCGATACGTGGCCAGATTTTCTAGAAGGTTCATTAACGAAAACACAAACTTAAGCAAGGGCGCCTAAGTGCAACTACTTTGTTTCATCAAAGCCGATGTATTTATTAACGTTATACATGTTGTAATGTTTGTGTTGCGATCGAAACGTCGTGATTTGTTTTATTTTATTGTATTTCTACCCACGTGACTTTACAGAAAGAACCAAAGAGTATGGATCCCTGCAAGTCACGAAAGCTTCAAATCAAGACGAATCTTCTTGGTTCTTTCGGTAAAGTCACGTAGAAGGGAAATAATAAATTAAAAAAAAGTATTATGTTTTGTTTTTATTATTTTATTATTTCTCTTCTACGTGACTAAAACATAATTTTTTATTATTATTTTATTATTTCCCTTCTACGTGACTTTACCGAAAGAACCAAGAAGATGAATCCCTGCAGTCACGAAAGCTTTATATCGAAAAGACGAATCTTCTGCTTCCAGATATGCCAACACCGAGGAGACGGAGCCATGAGCTCGTGCGCAGACGCTTGGCTGGACCGTTGCGTTGCGGGATCGAGAGAAATGTCGATGGCTTAGAGAGGTCTTCGTCCAGCAGTGGATTGCCCGTGCGTGGTGATGACGATGGTGATGATGATGATGAGAGAGTCATCATCGGATGACCCGTTGTTGGCTCGTCACAACTCATGTTATCGAGCCCGGGGCATCTATCCCTGAACAGGATTTGAACTTACGACCTTTTGAATGCGAGCCAAAAACCTTTGAGTTCTACCGAGCAAATTGCATATAAACTAAACACATTTTTATTTTATTTTACCAGGTAAGGCCCACTGAGCTGTATAGCTGTTTTTCAGAAGCGACCTGGCCACAAATGATGGCTCAACGAAGTGACTTATCGTCATGTTCGAAATGTATAGCCGCCTAATACTCTAAACGCGTGTTCTTTATTCTAAAAGTGAAGGAAAAATCGGAGGACCCGGAGAAAAATCCACGCGACCACGGGGAGAGAAAGAAAGAGAGAGAGACGCAAACTCCAAATATACAGCAAGCGTTGTCAGGGTCGGGATCGAACCCACAACCTCCTGCATACCAGGCGAGGGAGATAACATCTCGCCACCGCGGCGTGCTGGTCCAGAAGTCAAAATAAAAAAAAATCCGTACATTTATTCATACTGAAGGAATCCGATGAGCGATGAAGCTCTTTTTCACAGATGTCCAGTGGAAGTCGGTGGATACGAAGGCCGACATCGGGAGGATATCTTTCACTGCAAGCTCTGCCCACCAGAGGGAAGAGCACACGGACCACGGGGCTCCATCACGCACGAGGGACGACGGATTGAGCGAAGAGAGATTTGGCGAGCGGATTCGCTCTCGATGCCCTCGTCAGGCCGTCTTGTGACTTCGTCCGTCGGTGCTCTGCATCCAATTTTTATTGCTTATACAAGGTCATGTTTCGGTGCATACGCAGCTTATAATACACTGCGGTTTTAAGCTAAAGCGGACATTTGAAAGACAGCTTTCCCAATGTATTTATGAATCGTCGGCTCCGTTTGCTGAGCAGCAGTTGAACTTTTTTTTAGTTTTTCAAAAGCGCTCGTTTGGTCCTAACTTTGCCCGCACCAACGTAACGCCCAACCCGAACTCTAGGGTACGAATAACTTGATCGTCGTCAGCCGCGATCAACAGCCACCATCAATCCACTGCTGGATGAAGGCCTCCCTAATTCAGGAGCCACTTCTCGCGGTCCTGCAACGTAACGACCTGCCCGGCACCTGCAGAACCAGCTGACTACCATCAGTGATTTATTATTTTATTTCTATTATTTTTTATTTTTTATTTTATTTTTTACCTACGTGACTTTACCGAATCAACCTACGAGTATGACTACCATCGCTTCATTTCTGCGGTGGATGTGAGTGGGTTCCCCTTCCCTTGGAGGATGAGGATACCGCCAGTCCGTGGGACGCATTGTTCACTGGTGGGAACGAATATCCGCCTCCCTGCCGCCCCCGCCCCAGAGGTTAAACCAAAATTCTGTCAACCCAAGAGTCTCTAAGTGAAGGCATTTGCATGCACTCAGATACGGACGATCCCGCCAAACCCGTAGTGCAACGCTCATGGCACGTTCCCAACCACATCGATGGCTCTCTTCTATTCCTCTGCCGTACGATGCGAATCGAGACTGTGTGGTGGGTTGGTGGGTGGTGGGTGAGTGCGTGGTAGGTGGGTGGGTGAGTAGGTCGGTGTCTAGGTTTGTGGGTAGGGTGGCCGTTTGGCTGGATGCGGGGTGGAGGTTGGTAACCTAAGTATGTTGGGGGCCGTCCATAAATGACGTCACGCGATTTTGGACGATTTTTGCCCCCCCCCCCCCTCATCACACGGCGTCACAAAAAGTCAGATCCCCCCCCCTCAAATATGACGTCACAAAGCTCTGCCCCCCCCCCCCCCAAAATAAAACATGCTTCAAATCGCTTTAAACTATTGTCATTGTAGTGCGTATTTAATGTGGCGCTGCACTCTGATGTTGTCGGAGAAAACATTTATTAAAAAGTCTATTTCATTAAGTAGAACGTGTTGTCTATATTTATTTAAAGTTGCGCATTTTGATGTGACGTCACATTTCTCACCCACCACCTCTCGTCACACATCGTCACAAATGTCTGACCCCCCCCCCCCCCTAGGTGCGTGACGTCATTTATGGACGGCCCCTTGGTGGGTAAGGTATGTATGTAGGTGAGTGTATGGGTTGTAATGTACATGGGTGAGTGGATGGTTGAGGGGTGTATGTAGGTGAGTAGGTTGGTGGGTGGGTGATAGGTGGGTAATTAGTTTCGTATCTAGGTATGTGGACTGGTAGGCAGGAGTGTGGCTGGTAATAGGTAGGCAGACGGGTGTGTTGGTAGGTAGGTGGGACGAAGGGTGGGTACGTGATGGGTGATGCTTGGTTGTTTGGAACAAAAATGTTGTTAGCTCTGTGCATTACGTAGTGCGACAAACACCGACTCGTCACTTCGTTCACCTGCAGTGTTCACAACAGAGTCACACTGACCGGCAACTACATTCATCGCCATCAAAATAAAAAGCACGGACCTCAGTCGGGACAGTTAAGTGGTTCACACATTCGCTGCCAACATTAGTCTGCAGAAGAACACTTTTTTTTGGGGGCCGAACAGAGAAAGCCAAAAAACGCCTTGTGACATCATCGCGAAAGCGTCCCCATTGTATGCTGATGTCAATGCCCAAATCCCTAAAAGTTGTCAATTACCCAGCGGTGAATGACAAAATAATTACGGGGGCTCATCCTTCTCAACTTGCCGAGATGAGCCACCAATAATGCGGCCTCCTTTTGGACCAAACAGCTGATTGAGTTAATGACATCGTGGACATTAGCCTCGCAATAAATAATCGCTTTGAAACAATATTCATAAAGCCTACCACCGCATCGCCCTGCATTTTGTGCCCAATCATCGTCAGATAGCCAGAAGTCAAGCATGTTTAATTCTGGTTAGCACGTCCATCGGGAGATTGCGCGGTGGTGACATGTTAAATACCTCGCCTGGCATGCAGGAGGAACGAGGGTTCAATGCCTGACCCTGACGCATGCTCTATATTTGGAGTTTGCACGTTTTCCCGTGGTCGCGTGGATTTTCTCCGGATCCTCCGTCGTTCCGCCATCCATGCATTTAGTATCAACGTCACGCGTTTAGATTATTTGACTGTAACACATTTCCACGTCATAAGCCGCTTCGTTGAGCTATCATTAGACGATAACCAGGTCGCTTCTAAAAAAGAGCGTTTCAGCGTAGTGGGTCTTACCTGGTAAAAAATAAATAATAATAAATTCCAGGCATTGGGGGCTTTGGGGACTACCAGCTTAGTGCGGTGGTTGAAACAAGTTCAGCATGCATACATGCGTACAGCCATGGATTCTTAAATATTATTCGTGCGGAGCTTTTGAGTGCTACGCTTTGATATCGCGGTGGGCTTTCTCCGCAGAACGGAACAAATGGCAGCACCATCCTGATAAATAAATAAAGGGTCTTGGGGGCATTGTGAATTGTAGTTTTCTTCCCGAGATAGAGGGGAACAAAAGCAATTCTCATTACAATTTATTATGTCTCTTTTAAAGATCCCAACTCAAAACCCACTGTAGCAGCAACAACAGCAGCAGCAGCAGGAAGAACAGCTGTAGTAGTAGCAGCAGCAATAAGAACAGCAGCAGCAGCAGGAGGAAGAACGGCATTATTAGTAGTAGCAGCAGCAGCAGCAGGAAGAACAGCAGTAGTATTAGCAGCAGCAGGAAGAACAGCAGCAGCAGGAGGAAGAACGGCATTATTAGTAGCAGCAGCAGCAGGAATAACAGCAGTAGTATTAGCAGCAGCAGGAAGAACAGCAGTAGTATTAGCAGCAGCAGGAAAAACAGCAGTAGTATTAGCAGCAGCAGGAAGAACAGCAGTAGTATTAGCAGCAGCAGGAAGAACAGCAGTAGTATTAGCAGCAGCAGGAAGAACAGCAGTAGCAGCAGCAGAGGAAGAACGGCATTAGTAGTCGCAGCAACAGCAGTTGCAAGAACAGCAGTAACAGCAGCAGCAGCAGCAGGAAGAACAGCAGTAGTATTAGCAGCAGCAGGAAGAAAAGCAGTAGCAGCAGCAGGAGGAAGAAGGGCATTAGTAGTCGCAGCAGCAGCAGCAGTAGTAGCAGCAGCAGGAGGAAGAACGACATTAGTAGGAGCAGCAACAGCAGTTGCAAGAACAGCAGTAACAGCAGCAGCAGCAGTTGGAAGAACAGCAGCAGCAGGAGAATAAAGACTCGGGAGTGAAACTGCAGAGGTGCGCTTTGTGACAAAGGCCAAGGCTGTAACGTGAACCCGGTGCGGAGAGGGAGGGGGGCCCCGTTCTCTGCACGCTAACATGATGGGGGGGGGGGCCTCCCAGCGTCACCAGACGCCCGGGCCGTCCGCCAGCTGTCGATAAACAATAACACTCTGTATTCCTCGCCGGCTCCTCGCCACTACCCCCCCCCCCTTCGCCCCCCGTGTCGCAAAGCGGGGCCGATGTGGGGGCGGGAGATGGTGTGGGTGGGTGGGTGGAGGTAGTTGGGCTGGGCTGGTTGGTTGGGTGGTGGTGGTGGGGCGGTAAGGGTGGCGGGTGGAGGAGTTGGGTATTGGTGAAGGCAGAAGGAGTTTTCGTCCCTGGACGGGACCGTGTGGGGGAGTGGGTGGAACAATAGCCCATATGCCGCTGAACAAAAGACGCAGGCAGCCCTCCAATTCCATTGCCCTCCCTCCCTCCCTAACCTCTCCCTTCATTGCCTCTCTCTCTCTCCTCTCTACCTCCCCTCCACCCCCCTTGTGAACTCCCTCCCTCCCTGTCCCCAGCCCCAGCCGAACCACCACTCACACAATCCCCCCGTTGCAGGCTGGCCGATCCCCCCGGTGCTCTCGGAATATGCATTCCTCTTCAGCGCGCAACAACGCACGCGTTCACACGCGCGACCGCGTGGCCACAGACACAGACACAAAGATTCCCCCGTGTCGCCTTAACGGACTGCTGGGACAAGCGCTGTTAGCGAGCACCTTGCACGGCACACGAGGGGGATGGGCGGGGTGGCCAGCACAACGCCCAGCCACCTTTGTGTTTTTTTTCTCCAGCGGCAATGATTACATAACGCAAAAGCGGCTCTTTTGAGGCCGAGACAACCTGTCGGGAAGGCCCCGGGGTGGTGCGGACAATCGTCAGCGGTGTTGGCCGTGCGCGGGAATCGATCTTGGGTCGCCGGGGTTCGTAGCGCTAACCGCTGCGCCACCGCTCCCCGCAATCATGTGGCCACGAATCAGCACACAAGCACACACACGAATAGGCTTACCCGTCACGGGCACACGCACGCTGGCTTAGTTGCACAGATGTGCTCAATAAGTGCCGACAATTACCGGGACAGTGACGGGCTATTCATTAAAACGCACAACTCCCATACCGCAATCATACAGAACACGTGGATAATGAGCATGACGTGCGTTGAACTTCATTTGCACCGTACGTCACCAATCGTGCAAATCGGCGTCGACACGGCATTGCTGTATCAACCCATTGGTCA